GCATGCAAAGGGACGGTCCTGCTGCTGCTCCCCTGGGAGACCCCAGCACAGTATCAGGGCTCAGCTCACCCTGGGGAACTCCAGCCTGGAGCCAGGGCTCAGTCTGGCTCTCCGACCCTGCACCAGAGCAGGACCCATGCGTCCTTCCCTCGATTCCCTCCCTGGGAAGCTCCTGTGCACATAAGGGGCTTTGTCCACACACCCTAACTGGTGCTGCTGAGGGGGGACGAGTGGGTACAGCCAGTACCTGTGTGTCCTGCCAGGCTCATGGCTCAGACCCGGAGGCTTGAGCTCTGTTTCCACCAGCACAGTGTCTCCCCAGACACGACCCAGCCAGCCTGGGTGAAAAAATGGGGACAGGAATATGCTGGAAAACACAATCCTCACTGGGCTCTGCAGGCGCTTACCCTGACAGCTCCCCAAAACTGCCTGCTTTCCTGGCAGCACCAGCCTGGATGCTCAGGAACCTATCGGGGCGCAAAGTGAGAACCCAGGCTTGGGACACTGGCTGGGTACAGCAGGGCTTGTATGGGATTTGGGAACTGCACTCGACACCTGGATGGCAATGCCCGCAGCACCAGGCGATGCCACCACAAACCCTGCCACGTGCTGGAGCGAGGGGGGACACCTGCTCCCTGCTGGCTGCAGGAACACTGAGGGAGGTGGTGCAGGTTAAAGCCCTGCCATGGTTGCCCAGGGGCAGCAGAGGGGTGAACCCTGTGGCAGCCCACAGCTCCCAGCCTGCTCAATGGCACTGGGGTATCATCAGGCCAGTAGCCACGGTATGGCCAGGACTGCAGAGCCCCTGGCCACATGCTGCCAGGCTCACATTGGCACTGGGAAGATCCAGTTCCTTCCTTGGACATTTGGTTCCCTTCTGAGCTCAGGTGCCCTTCCTAGCCTTCCCAACACTGGCACTTCCCCAGGGCTCCCTACACTTTCCTGGCACCCAGCCCCACACCTGCCTGCCAAAACCAGCTGCACCAAAGGTACTAAGACCCCTCCTGGAGCAGCTGCAGTGCCCCTTGGTGCCCCCAGCTCCTCCATGGAAGCCCATTATTCCACAGGCACAGTGCCCCCACGCATGGGAGTCGCCGTCCCCATGGGGAGAGCAGCTGGAGAGCCAAGTGACTCTGAATTTCATGGAGGTGCCTGAGGTGCCCTCGCTGCAGCACCCACTGTCCCACCCAGCCCTGGCTGCAGGCCCCGGAGCCATGCTGGCCCAGGGGCAGTGCAAGAAAATCAGCTTTCAAAAGCATTTTCCTATTTGGATGCTGGTCCCCAAGTGGAGGAAGCCGTAGGGCCAGGGCAGTGGAGCCAGCGGGGGCGGCCCATGCTCACTGTCCTAATTAGCCTTTCTTTGTTAACCCCCCCCAACTGCCTGTGATGCTTAAAGAATGACAGATACTAAATCTAATTTAATCTACTCATTCACCCATCACTATAGCACTAAAATAGGAATATACCTATAAAAAGAGCATTGCCAGGCAGTGTGGGCCAAAATCACAGCTATTGTGGGAAAAGCAGCTTTGCAAAGCTAAAATTAATGTCAATGTTTTCAATATATGTATATATATAAAAAGCAGAAAATGTTTCTGGTGGCTTTAAGGCTGGTCCTCACCGAGCAGAGCAGCTGCCACAGCATGGCCAGAGCCGTGAGCCACCGTGCCAGGTCTTGTATCCGTGCGACGCGCGAGCAGGGGGAGAAACCCAGTTTGAATTGAACCCGCTGCTGCAACACACGACAACACTGCTCGGAATAGACCTGCTCCCTAAAAATATAACATGCTAAACTTGGCAGCAACCCTCTTGGAAAGGAATTTTCCAAGCAGGATTTGCAGAGGCTGTTTCCCAGCGGGCCGGGCACTGCTCAGCCAAGTCTCCTGCGCCACAGTGTGACCGTGGGCACCAGGGATGTTCCCAGCAAGCAGTAGCTCAGGGGCAGCGTTGCAGTGGGGTTCAGCACACCTGTACATCAACCTGTGCTGGGGCCAGAGCTGCACATGCATCACTGCCTGTGCCGGGGTTGCGTTGGGGTCGAGCACTGATTCCGAGGCTCAGAGCCTGGGTCTGTTCTGGGTCAGTGCTGAGCCCTGTCCTGCAGCCATCACCTGCACACTCACAACAGCAGTTTTAGGTAGAGATCGACTCCTCTGTTCACGAAATGAAGCCACCAAAGTGTCCCTCCGCACCAGGTCCTTGCTGAGCAAGAGCCAAATGTCCCCGCCAAGCCCCACCGAAGGATGCAGCATTCCTGAGGGCACGGGCTGCTCCGCCAGGGGCACGGACCCACCCTCCTGCAGCCTCTGGCCCCCCAGGGGCACCACTCTTGGAGCATGTCAGTGCTGGGAGGAATTCCTGGACACAGCACTCAGAATGCTGTGGACCGTGGCTCCTGTGGCCAGGCCAGGGTGGCCACATGGGGGGAGAAGAGCAGAGCGAGCTGCTGGTACCCACAAGTACCTGCAAGCACCTGGATGAGCCACTGGCACTGATGAGCTCTCCCTGGTGCTGGGAGAACTGAAGTTTTCCTGAGAACTTCATTTCTTGATCCTTCCTTCAAATCCTGGCACTGTGGAGAACACTGGGGCTGGGAGCTATGAAACACAGGTAGCATACTGAGGAACAACTCTAGCCTACGCCACAAACTCCTGGCAGGGAGAGCATGTGTCCAAAGGAATGATGGCAGCTAGTGCATGCAGACCCTGGAGCCTCCCAGCTCCTGACCCCCTGGCCAGTCCAGCAGACTCATTTCCCAGCCAGTGAATCAGTCACGATCACGGTATGTGCCCACCCCAGGTGCCCCACTACAAATCCCCACACCTGGAGAGGGAACTGTAAGTCAGGGGGTCAAAACCAAGCCCCCCACAGACTTCAGGACACAACTAACTTGTGGAGAGTCAGTTGAAGCCCCTCAGGTGTCCCTGCTACACAGGGGTGAGCTGAGCCAGCTGACCAGGGCCAGCTCTGCAGCGGGCACACGCCCACGGGCACAGGAGCATTGCTCACCCTGTGCTCCTCCGGTGCAGGCGGCACAGGTGGGCACATCCAAAATCCAGAGCAAATTCAGGACTAAAGCAGGTGCCAGGCAGGCCCATTGCTCACCTGAGCAGGATGAGGGGCCTGGCAGAGCCCATGCCCTGTGCCCCTGCCCCACGTGATGGCTGCCAGTGACGTCCCTCTGCCTGATGCCTTGTTGTGACATGCACTGGGAGACACCTGTCCCCAAGCACCGGGTGCAGAACCTCTGTAGGTGACAAACCCCAGGAAGAGGATGGAGATTTTTGCCTCCATTGTGTTCAGCTGGGTGAAAATCCAACTCCAAATCTTGTAATAAAACCCTCCTCCTGGCTCACAAGTCCGGAGATGCTGCCAAGGAGCAGAAGGCTTCTGGGAGAGCAGGGAGGAAGAGATGCAGAACACGATGGTCAAATCAAACCAGGCAGGGCGATGGGGGAACCAGGAGACACTGGGTGCAGAGCCACGCATCTGGGAAAGCTGCTGCTTCCCAGGGATCCCCAGTTCCGCTTTGCCCAGCCCTGTGGGCACCAGAAGCCCTCGTTTGCCCACCATGCTGCTGTCCCTGTCACCATGAGCCGCAGGCAGCACAGCCAATCCACGCCAGAGCACTCCACAGGGCAAGAGAGCGGCACAGCTGAGCCCCTCGTGTGGCCAGGGACAAGGGGATCCCGGCCCGAGAGGGACATCTCCCGTGCTGCAACAGAGGCTCCAGGCCCCGTTCTGGCTTCTATTCCAAAGCATCCATGTGCTCCCTTCAGAGGGACAGAAACTACCCTCCGGGACGGGTGGGAGCTCAGGGATGGTTTCTGCTTGGTGTCAGAGGTGCAGCAGCCTCAGGGAACTTGACACAGCCCGGGGAGGCTGAGAGTGAAATCCAGAGCAGCTCTGGCTCTCCCCAGGCTCTGCCTGCAGGAGGGTGCAATAAATCACACACCCGCCTCAGCAGCCCCTGCCGCAGCCCCCGCGCGCCCCGTGCTCGTGTAACCAGCACCAGCTTCGCCAGCCCCATCGCCCACGCACCAGAGAGAGCAACCATGGCCTTGCCATCCCCACCACCAGCGGCCACGCTCCGGCTGCGACCCCGCCTGGACACCAGCCATGGACATCCCAAGGGACAAAACACTCCATAGCCCTTCGGGCTGGAGTGGAGGGTTGGCACCAGTGCCTGTCCTTGCCGCCGGGTGAGCCGTGCCGGCCACGCCATGAATTTTTAAACTCCTGAAAGCACAAATGGAGTGGTTTGCCTGGCTGGGAGATGGGATTTCCGATGCAGCAAAGAGGCATTTGAAGAAGATGCTGCCTCTCCCAAACTGCGCTTCCCCTGGGATGACGAGCCTGGAAACCTGGGGCGCTGGGTCCAGTGCAGGAATCAGGGCAGCCCCGTGGGACAGCAAAATCCTGGCCAGGGTAAAGGACCAAACTGATGGCCCTGGTACCCTCCATCTGGGCCACCCAAACTTGGGACTCGCCCGGCGCTGTGTCCCCCAGTCCCTCTGCAGCACCTTCCTGTGACAGCGAGACAAACCCGGCCTGGCTGCGGGCACGCGTGATGTGACAGCACACACACACACACACACACACACACGCATGTGCACACGCGTGTGCACGCACAAGCTCGTCACCTTCCCTTCTCCCCAGAGGCTGCTCAGGCCGCGCGGGAGCCTCTTTCCTTTATCCGAGCATCCATCATCGCCAAGCGGCAGCAGTGCCGAGGCGGGGAAGCGCTGGACCCGCGCCGGCGGCTCTGCCTGCTGCACTGCCCGCGCCTCAGCCACGCTCCAGCCCCGGCCGCGCTCCTGCCACCTCAGCGGGGAAACCAGAGAAACCCCCCAAAGCCGCAGCTGAGGACCCGGTGCCGCGGGGCTGGAGGGGATAGGCTGGGAGGAACCTGTCAAGCTCTGACCCTCCGCAGAGAGGGAACCAGCCAGAAACACGTGTGAACCGGAAAGCAAGAAAATCCCCTGGAGAGGGTTGCTTACCTGTTGGAGGTAGAGGAAGGCTGGAGGACAGGGGAGAGAGTGAGGAAGCATGCCTGAGTTGGAGACAAGGAGGCAGCCCGAGTTAGCCATGGAGCACAGCATGTGTCGACAGGTAGCCGTGGAGCTGCTCGCGGGTCCGTCCTCTTCCGCACACTGCTATCCACCGCTATCCTCGTCTTCCCGGCTGGCCCCTCGGGCTCTCCCCTCCTCGCCGTCCCTCCCGACCCCTCGGCGCTAGTTAGGAGGGTTCATCTGTGGCAGGCCGGCCGCGCTGCCGCCGGAGCAGCGCTCGGCTCTTCACTTCGGGGCCATTAGACACTGGCACTGAGCGCACGGTCTGCAAAGGGTGTGCGTGAGCCAGAGCGGAGCGGGAGAGAAAGGAAGGGGAGGAGGAAGGAGAGAGGGCTTGGGAGTGAAATAAAAGGGGTGGGAGTTGGAGGAGGAGGGGGAGTCCCCTGTGCATTCAGACATCAAACAGAGCTCTGTATAAAATGAAGAGAATCCGTAATGACATGAGAACAGCTGATCCCGCACTTAACCCCTCCACCGCCGCCGCTCGCAGATGGCTTCCCTGCTGTCCTCGCTGCCCCGGCCACACGCTGGGGAAGCAGCCGGGCAGGATGGGGCCGAGTGGGCAGAGCTGTCTCCCTTCCCAGCGCTGGCTCCCAGGGGAAGAAGGGTCTTACAGGGAGTTTCAGTGGTGCAACGCGGGCGCCGCGGGAAGCCGTGCCGAGCAGGCGGCACTTCCAGCCGCGCAGCCCCCGCGATGGCAGGGCCGCCGGGGCTCCCCATGCACACACCGCCGGACACGTGCACACGCGCCACGCTCTCGGTGGGAGCCGGCACGGCAGGGACACGGGAGCCATGCAGCAGCCCCAGCTCCGCCTCCCCGGGAGCCACCGACCCGCTCCCGCCTGCAGCCCCGCATGGCCCCGCAGCCACTGCCGCACCACCACGGGCCTGCGCCACCGCGGGCAGGGCCGGCAGCCCACGGCATTCCCTACGGAGCGGCCACGGCCACGGCCTCACCGCCGCCTGTGTGCCCTGGGCACAGCTGCCGGGCCCTGCCGAGGTGTGGAGCCCCAGGCAGGGCCCTGTGACCCCCCGCCAGCCTGCCGGTCCCCCAGGCGTGGAGGGCTGCGGGAACCCCTGCACCCTGGGGTGACATGAGTGGCCCTGCCCGCTGGTGCTGGCTCCCCTGCGTTCCCCAGAGCGATGGGGACCCTCTGCCCCAAGAACCACCGGCTGGCCAGCGGTCAGCCCCGGCAGAGCTCGAGAGGCATTCTGGCGTTTCTGAGGGGCCTGCGGTGCTGCCAGCAGCCCTGACGCATCCACACCACACACACCGCTGTCACAGCTGCCATGGCAATGGCCTACGTGCCGGTGCCCGTGAGGGACCGCTGGCGTGGGCACACACCTGTGCTCACTCCGGTCCCCGTCCCACCTCACGCCTCCACCCGTCCACGGCCCCACAGCAGCCCTGGCCCCCTCTGGTGCCACAGAGCTCAGCACTGGCACAGGGGTCCCTCCCCAGCACCCCACACCCTGGCACTGCATCATGCCTGGCTCTGGAGCCATGGCCAAGGCCACCAGGATGGTGTTCTGCTGGGGTATGTGGGAAACAAAACCTGGGCTCAACTCAGTTTCCATCTTGGCCAAATATGATGCACAAAGGCAGGGCTGTGCCAGCAGCTGCTGATGCTCTGTCTCCGCCGGAGCCTCCAGCACACGACCAGCCCTTTTTGGAGCTGGGATTTTCCACAGTATCCCCAGGCAGAGTGACATGCTGCAGTGTCCTGGTACACTCACAGCGGTTCCCGTTTCTACTGCAGACACTCAGAGCGGCAGCATGTGGCACGGCCGGCCCGGAGCCACAGGAAAAACCTGCTCTGGAAGAGCTGTCCTGAGGAAGCAGTGTCTGGGGCCTAGGGAGTGCCAGCCCCTCCTGTGGGGTTCTGTGACTGGGGGCACCACACTTCATAGGGACCACGAGGTGCCAAATTGGGGAAGGGATATCAGGCTGGGGGAGGGTTTGTCAACACCAGAATCAAGCGCCAAAAGGGTCCAGCAGTGACATCCACTCCATTGCCAAGAGCATCCCTGGGCACTGCTCCCTGCGAGGAGCACGGGTGTCCCACCATGACCGTTTGCCACCCAGCTCCAAGGACCACGACAGACGCAGTGGCCCCTCCGGCACACCGCAGTGCTTGGACCCCGTGCTCCCGCTCGCCTCCAGCTCCCTTCCTCGGAAGCCCCACGGCCCCAGTGCCACAGTCTCCAGCACCCGGGGCAGGACGTAGGACAGCTCTCTAAGGCACAAGTGGGTCCTCCCTCAGTCCCTCAAGCAGCTGAGGGGAGAGTGGCCCCCCGAGGCACCTGCACGCACCCAGGCACCACACAGACCCTGAGCGGTGAGGGGCACCCTGAGCAAGCTGATGGGCAGCTCTGAAGGCCCTGCAGCTCCCGGAGGTGACAAGGGCAGGGCACTGCCCAGCACGCCGGCCTGGCGGTGCCCAACCAAACAAACCACGTGAGGCAGAGGCCGGCTCCAGGATGAGGTAATCTGCCCATCCTCCCCCGCGCCAGAGCCTGGCTCCGGTCAGGGTGACTCAAAGGCATTCCTGGCCTGTGGCAGCACCACGAGTGCTGGCACTGCCCTGAGCCAGCAGCAAAATGGGCCCAGCTCTGGGAACTGAGGAGTGTGGGATGTTGGGAGTCTCCTCTCTCCCTCCTCCAGCCATCGCCAACACCTGCCTGGCTGCAGATGCCCCACAGCAGCAGGGAGCCCTACGGAACTCCAGTATGGCAGGGCAACACCAATCCCACGGCTCCAGTGGGGAACGTGTTCCCAGCCACCAGCGGCCGGTTTCCCTCACCCTGCTGCTCCCAGTGACACTGTGCCACAGCCCCAGCTGACAGCACCAGCGGTGGCACCAGCCCCGAGGAGCCCTGGTCAGGGTTGCCCAGCCCAGCGGAGCCACAGCCCTGGAGGAGACCCTCTGAAACTGAAGCCTCCTGGAATGAAAGTTTATTTATCTGTTTAATTAAGATGTGTTCACCAGGCGCACAGACCCCGTTCCATCTGTCTCACTTACAGCCGCGTCCCAGTAAAATTAAACCTAATAAATATCAGCAGAGGGAAAGCAAAGGGCATGTGTGAGATATACGATCAAAGGCAGAAGCTGCACAGGGCTGCAGTTCTCAGCACATCTCTCTCTGCCCTTCGGGGCTGGGCTGGCACTGTGCTCCCCCACGCAGGATGGGGCTGCCTTTCCTTCAAATCAGCACAATTCCCAGCTTTTTATTTATTTTAAATGAACCCTTGAGGGCTCCTTCGTTTTGTTTGCTGGGAAAGGGAGAACAACATGGCACTGGGACAGGAGTGGTCTTGGCTACTGTGCTGGTGCTGAAGCCAAGGGGCAGAGCCTGCAGTGGGACAGTTGACACGCACCCCCCCCAAACCACCACCAAGGGAACCTGCCGGGGACAGTGCGGCACATCCAGCTGCTCCAGGTATCCAGGATGTACCAGCAGCCAGTGCAGTGCTGGCAGCTCCCAGGGAAATGCTAGAACAGCTCGGCTGCCCTCTGAGGCACACTCCACCATTTGGACCCTTCATCTGCCAGGAACGAGGCCCCAAGGTCTGCCGGGAGCCCCGGCCCCCTCAGGCCCCCCGAGCGGGTGGTGCCACAGGCTGCTGGCATGGCATGGCTGCGGCACATCCAGGTGCCCAGGGTCCTTCACACACTGCACTAAGCCCTGAGCACACGTCAGAGCTGCTGCCCTCCCAGGTCTGCCCCAATGCTATGTCCAGATCCTGACCCACGGGATGCAATGGGAAATCCAGCCCCTGGTACTGCACTCCTCACCAGGACCCATCCCTCATCCTCTCCCAGAGAGGGATGACACAGTGCCCATGGACCTGCCGTGGGGGCACAGCCACGGGTGGGCTGGTGCCGCGCAGGCTCCCAGTGTCTAGTGCTCAACAGGACCCCCATGGCCCCCCACAGCACGCACCCACGGGGCAAAGCTGGATGCTGATGCTTGGGAGAGCTGCTAAAAGAGGGCTGCAGGTCAGGTGAGGTGCAGCCACCGCCACAAGGGCTGGTGAAGTCAGACTAGTGAGGTCAGACCGCGAGGTCAGATGCTCCGGCCTCCCCGGGGTCATCCTGCGAGTGCAGTGCCAGTGGCCCGGCAGCACCCAGGGAACACAGCACCCGCCTAATCCTCTTCTCCCACCCACTCCAGAATGCCTCCAAGCCATGGCATTCATTAATTAAAAGCTCATTAGTAGTTAGTCATAGACATAAAGCGATTAGATGAAGGTGCTGACGGATCTGAGCCGCTGTGCTGCGAGGGGAGGGTCCCACGTCCCCAGTGCCTTGGCTGCAGGGACTGCCCCAGTGCAGGGCACAGACCAGGACAGCGATAAGGGACCAACAAGCCTCCTCTGCACCCTGTTAAACCTCCTCTCCATCTTTCCCCGCTCCTTCCTCCTACTCCAGCAGCTCTCAGGGGTCACTGGAGACCCCACCTGCTCTGAATTCCCAAAGGTGAAGCACCCAGGCATGATCTCACCAGGTGAGGAGGGGACTGTTACCACGACATGGCCAGTATCTGAGACAGCAGCTGTGGCAGTGGGAGGGGAGCAGGAATGCAGGGAAAGCATGTGGAAGTTTAATGGGATCCAGGGAAAAAATCCACCTCACTGAGAAGTTCATGGCCCATGGTGGGGGACAGGACGGGGCCTTGGGCACCTTCAACTGCTGTCGAGAGCTGCCAGCACCATGCAGAGCAGGAGAGTGGCTGGGCCACCATCTGGGGATGTCCTATGGCCCCCCGTGTCACCCCTCCCTCCTTTGCCCTTCAGCCACCCAGGCAGGGAGAGGACCCTCAGTGCTCTCTACAAAACAGTGCCCTGGCTGCAGTCATCCTATGTCCCCCATCATCTGGCACGAGTAATCAGTGCACAGGGACCTCCAGCAGCCGGCCATATCCCACCCCCTGTGGGACACACGGCAGCTCCTGCGGGGACACACTCGGCACCCCTGGCTGTCACTCTGCCTGGCTCCTCGCCTCCACCCGCACGACCCTTCCAGAAGCCCTTTCATTTGACAAAATATTTACATGAAATGGCAATTAGGCTCCCTGAATTTAATGAGAATTAACATGCAGCAGCAGCACCGTGGCAGAGCAGCTGCTGCTGAGCACCTCGAGCTCGTGGGCCAGGTGGGCAGTGTGGGGGGGCCATGGCAGGGGAAACGGCTGCACCATGTGTGTCACAGGGTCACCAGGGCCACCACCACCACCACTGGGGCCAGAGTTACTGCCACTGCCAAGGCCAGAGCCACTGCCAGGGCCAAGGCCACCACCAGGGCCAGGGCCACCACCACTGCCAAGCCCAGCGTGGATGAAGAAGGACGCAGGAATGATGGAGGGTGATGCAGGAACGATGGAGAGCAACGCAGGAACGACAGAGGAACGACAGAGGGCAATGCAAGGAACAAGCAACTACAGACCCAGGGACCCAAAATGCCTCATCCCAGAGTCCCCCTCTTTTCTGAGACCAGCTCTGTTGCCTGACAAAGAGTTCCCAAGAAAATGCACCCCCTAA